ACAAATGTTCTGCCAAAAAGGTCTACCTTTCCTTAATAGAATATTTAACAAGTTTTGTTTACACGCACTCTGGATATTTTATTTACTCGAATGGAGCTTTATATCAATGTATGTGGATTCCATTAGTGTCTTGGTTGTTTGATAATCAACAATTAATATAATAATATCTTAATATCATGATTTTTTTTCATTTTAAAGGTCCCTTTCTCATGAACCATTATAAATGTTTACGAAAATGGCAATAACGTTTTTCTCCAACGTACTGTGCAACTAACAAATAATTTGAATTTTTCTAGGTAACTTTCAAAATCGGTACAGTGTTTAAGAGATTATCCCCTAAAAATACAAAAACTTTACTTCTTTATAATGTTATCATAAATGAATAAGGAATCTGAGTTATATTTAATAGCTCATTGGTTCGGAGTCAGTTGCCATTAATTATTATTGGTAGTAATTATTAATTTTCAAATCTTAACCTTTGAAAAGTATTCTTAGAAAGACCCTGTTTAACAGAGACTATTCTTTTGTCAGTAAAAGCTATTTGGTCTCGTGGTAAACATGGTTTTAGGTTATTTTTGGAAAACTATGAAATCATTTATCTGACTTAAATCCTACCTATTAATGTATGTATAGTAAAATAAGAGGTGATCTGTTATATGACAACCCGTATTATACTTAAGTCAATAAAACCTTATTAGCTTCATGCTAGTTATAAATAACCGATTGTCCGTAGCTACGTAGCGCTACGTCGTAGCAAATACCAACTATTGCCACGGCCTATTTTACGAGCAAATTAATTAACACGAATAGATTTTTGTTTTCGTACTGAGATGAATACATCATCGTGTTACCAATTAGTACTGGGTTGTCTGAAATGTTTGTTTAACATGTAATATTTTTACGAAATAACAAAGAACAATACTGTTAATTTAATATATGTGAAGTAATAATAACATAAAAATACACAGGAACCAAACAATTTTGCTTTTTAATTTAACAGAAATGACTTTTTTTACTGCCACTAAACATTCTGTTACACTGGGACTCAAACCTCCGCAGTCATACATGCCATATAACCACTAAACGAGAGAAGCAATAAATTTTGTAATCAAACCTATTATTATTTGATTAGATTGCTTTTGAGATCAGAGCTGTGTAGATATTAAAATATTGGGAATAGTCAAAATATCTTCACAGTCTTACAAAACTAGAAACTACCAATATGTTAAACTAGCTACCAGCTGAGGTACATCTGAACCAATTCCACCAAAACCACGGCGTTGCAGATTCAGTGGTGGTGAATAACAGTCACACTTTATTAATACCACTAACTATATCACAAAATAGCAAAAATAAGGCAAAGAACCCAAACGTTAATATTATAAATAAATATAGTCTTTATTGACAATCTTGTAAGTTACATTTTATCTTATTTCTACTTAGTTATTGATGAAATTTAGTTAAAGTAAATGTAAATATTATCAAATTATTTCCTATTAGACACCGGTTTCTTGATCGTCTTGCTTTTCAGTATAGGTATCCCCAAGTGTTCTCCACTAAGATCTATCTCTTGCTTTTCTGCCACCTTTTTAATTTCATCTTCCCATCTACGATGTTGTCTACCTTTACTGCTAGTTTTATTTCTAGGGCTTTTATGTCAATATAATATTATAAACATATAAAAACCCAAAAAAAAAAGTTTTAAAATACAGTACTTTAACTTCCTTCACAAAATTGATCAACAATTTAGAAATCCACTAAAATACCTATTTAAGTTGTAGGTAAAGTAGAACTGCAAAGTGACATATTTTCATTTATATTCTTATTTTAGACGTACTTACTTTAGTTAACTTACTTTAGTTCATGTCACTAAAGCCCTGTTCCATTTCGTTACTTATTTTAACTTGAACTGAACACCTCGTAACATTAAGGTGTATTTAGGTCAACTATAATCGGATTTAATTCCAACCAATTTAACATTGTCTGCAGTTAGTTACAGTGGTCAAATTTAATTACAATTCTTTAGAAACTTTACAAGTGTTCGTTGCGTACCAAAAATAGAAATTGCTCTACAATACTGATTGTACTACTGGGAAGTGTTAGCGGCTTGTGTGTCCTCCCTATTTACGAGCCTTCGAATCACTGAGCACTAATAATAATAACATTACCTTAAATGATACTACGTTACTACAATTGTGACATGAATGGACTTTACTTTCTATTTGCGGACTTAACACTAGCTCGCGAAAACATAGCGGATAAACTGGCATGCTTACGACCGAAATGATCTTCTAAAACATGACGGGGGTTTTTATTATTAGTTTGAACACACAAAAAGAAGTCAGATATCGAATTCAAATATTTAAAAGTGGGCACTTGGTTGTATAACAAAAACCAAAGCACATTATTATACTATAAGACGCCATCAAAAAGACATAGGTGTTAACCGCAAAAAAGGTGGAACGAATACATTAAAGAAAACTTAAGAAATATGGAGAGGTTCATGAACTGAATAAAGGTCTCCAAAGATCGTAGCAACTAAAGTATAAAGATAATACATAAATAAATACTTATAGCACCATCGAATATCTGTTTGTTTGTTTGATAAAATGTTTTGACAAATCTATCACAATAAAATATAACTGACACATACAATTAAGGCTTTCATTTAACAAATCTTTGAAAATAAACAAAATATACATTAATTGCTGTATTTGTTTTAGAAAATACGGAAGAGAATTTTAGCATGCAACAAAAAGGAAAAGATAAATGTGAATGTATCTGGTTAAAACAAAAATTTTATTTCAAAACATTTATATTCGAGTTTTCGGTGTCGATAGCTTTACTTTCAAAAAAGGTTCAAAACGTAAAATAACAGTTGTACGTGTGATATCGCTTTTAAAATTTAGTATCCACTTTATTCTTTTCTGATATTCAGGTGCTATAAAGTGACAGAGTTATTAAAACTCAAAAACTATTATATTTGAACGATGGCTGAAGTGTTAGATTTATAAAATAAAGAATGGGACTGATTTTATTTATACTTTATGATCTCTATATCTCATCAACTAGGCAAGAAATCTCTGTCAACATGCTGGTTTCCTCACGATGTTTAAACAACGAAGTGTCAATCTCTGACGTCGAAAGAGTCACGCTTTGAGCTCATACATTCGGGGTTGAGGGTAAAATTTACAGTGAAGAATTAGCGCTAAGTAAATTAGTTTATATAAGACCAAAGATTTTCTAAAATTTTACTTTGTTTAGCACCTAACAATTTAGTTTTTTTTTGATATATTAAGTACTAGCTGACTCGACTAACTTCGTTCCGCCTAACAGTCAAATAATATCGTGTTAACTTTAGTTAAACTTAATTTAGGTAATATTAATAACAATAATACAACTTTTTTGCAGATACAGAAATGTTTTATTGCTTGCCATCGCGAAAGAAGTGTTTGCATTCGTAAAATTAATTTATTTATTTATTGTAATTCGATAACTTTTCCGATATTTTATAACTTATTCTGCTATTCGGAGCGGAGAAGAATCCACCAAAAAAGAGATAACTAATATTGGTCCAGCCGATCTTGAGTTATGAGTAGTGTAACTAACACGACTTTGTTTGGTATATTTAGATTAATTGTCGTTTATTTTATGTTAAATTTCAGTTTTCTTTTTTTTTCGTTTTTGGCTATTAATGGAATTAATTATGTTTTCTGTTTATCAATGTAATCTATTTGGCTTTGTATACTGTCTAAGTATTTTGTTTTATAATATGTATCTTAGCTGTAAGATTGTTGTATATGTTTTGATCATTTGTCAATCTAGTAGGCAAGTAGGTGATCAGCTTCCTGTGCCTGACATATGCCGTCGACGTTTTGGGTATAAGGCAAGGCCGTTTACTCACGATCTTTTCCTTCACCGTTCGAGCGAATATTAAATGCGCATAGAAAGAATGTCCATTGATGCGTAGCCGGTCATCAAACTTACGACCTCAGGTATGAGAGTCGCACGCTGAAGCCACTTGGCCAATATTCCTCAATACACCAAGGAACTTGTATAAAAATCGAATCATTCTTAATTCCTAATAACATGAAGAGTTTAATCTTTACTTCACTGACAGATAAAAGCTATTTTTAAAATGTTTGCTTACCGACTTCCAATTACATTACTTTAGTATTGAATCAGTATAAAAATACTCTTTCATGAAATGTAGGCGAGCGCCAAGCTATAAGTATCATTATCCCCTGGCACACGCCGTGTCATAATTTACTACTTTATTATAAAAGTAACTTATTACATAACGGATATTGAAAGGAAATGCTTCTAATTAAGTTTATTAAAACCAGAATGGTAATTTTAAAAATGTAAAGAAAGTCTACGAACTCGGAACGTCGAATAGCGATGTCTCGGAAAACGAAAAATGGCAAATAAAAGACGAAAAATAAGTTGTGCGTTTCTTTAACTTGTCCTAAGAAACTAACCTTAATGGAAATTGTATTCGTTTTTACACCAAACTCCCAAGCGAAATTAGAGAATTATCACTGAATAAATTCAAAACTCTCGTTAAACGTAAATTAATCAATAAAGCTTTTTATAAACTTGACGATTATTTAAATGATCCTAATCCTTGGGATTGATTTGCTCCAGTTCAAACAATTTGTATGACTCAAAACTTGGCGATTAAAATGGGTGGCGGAGAGTTTCTTGCTGGTTCTTCTTGACCACTCTACGCCCTTGACTTGCGAACTGGTAGTAAATCAATTTAAGATCTTTTTTGTTGACGTTCATAAGTGTACTTGGTTATATGTAAAAAAATATTTTGAGTTTGAGTCTAAGTGGCCACCCTTAAGGCCCCAGTTACTTAGGTCAATAATTTGAATTATAGCTGAGCGGTCGGAAACACACATATACATAAAAAAAAGTTTATCACATGAGCATCTAGAAAACGTTAACCTCCTGAAAATCTCCTTTGACATAATATCGGAATATGAATAAAAAAATTACTTACAGTAATTATTGGGTATAAGATCCGGCTCGGCATCGTCATGATCTGTTGGTTTATCAAGCTGAGAAGACGGGGGTGCTTTTCTTGGAGCGCGCCTTCGTCTTGCTGCTCGCCATGCTGCTACGGCTAAGGCTAAAGCAGCACCAGCACCGATGACGGTAGCCCCCGCTGCACCCGCGGCCCCGGCACCCAAAGTTGTTTCTGATGCTGAAATAGAGTATCAAGTATTAGTTTGAGTATTTTTCAACTATTGTTTAGACATTGGTAATAGTTTCAAGTTCCGTTGAATAAATGAATGCGTAATGTTAATTTTTTACGGTAGTTACATTATTTTTGTATTGTACTGTTTAATTCGTTGTTACAATTTATAACAAATAAATTAATGCGATTAAGCAATAAAAAGTTTGTAATTTCATTAAACATGAGTTATACATTATATTTAGTCACTCAGAGTACACTCATAAATAACAGGCTGTGTAGGCAGGCGGCTTTCAATAGGTATAAACATTTTCTATAGAATTTCAAATTTGACAGATTGACGTATAAAGTTATAAATACAGGGAATAAGGGAATAAAATTAAGATTAAACAAAATTTCGAATTCATAAAGCATATTTTAAAGAAATATTCTTATGAAGTGTTCTTATATCGTAAAACAAAGAACAAATAGTTGTAAAAAAACTAATTTAGCTATTTAAGTTTATGTAACAGATCATAAGTTTAAACTCGAGAATGTCTAGGTTAAAAAATTTACATCGATTTTATTGCTGAAACTAGTTAGTTTTAATTCAACCTTTAATTAAACAAACTTAAACCATAAAAGCTTACACCTTACGTGTTAATCAAGTTTTGATTAATCGAAATAAAATCTAAATCGTTGGCGTTAATAAGCACACTCGTAAAAATATTAAACGATATTTCATAATTTATGTACATGCGCTGCCACAATCGTAATTTAAAAATCCATAAAATGCGAATGAATTGGAATAACCGTATTTTATTTATTAGTTCAAATAATTTTGACGTATAAGGGTTTTACCTGTTATGATACATACATACATCGAGTGGCACTTGAAACTATTGAAGGTCGAAGTGCCACCGATTCGTAAGAGCCGCATTTACCACGGAGAGTGATCAGAGGAGTTGTTCGGATTAACTGCAGCTGAGTTTCATCATCGGACGTCAAGTGTCAAAATTCTAAAAACAATTGTTCATATTGATAACGCAATGTACACTGATGACCGTAAAAAAAATATATGATGCTTCTAATTTTACATTTACTGTCAGTTCTCAAATCAAGGGCGAGAACGGAAGAGAAGAACTGGCAATAAACTCTCCGCCACTTTTTGAATCGCCAAGTTTTTTGTTTTACACAACGTTTATTCGGGAGCTGTAACCATTACACCATGTTCCACATGACATCTTAAGTATAATAATAATAATAAAATAAATTAAAAACAAAGATTTATCCTCTATCAGCAGGAGACATGGTAAAATAGGAGCACGCATTTATATTCTCGTGGGAACAACGCGCAAACACATAGTCTAAATAACTAACATAACAACACAGCCTACAAGAATTCAATTACGACCAGTCACCAAAAGTAGCACCCGTTCACGAGTATGACGCATGGCCAGCCATCGGCACCCTCGCCATATAGGGAGAGAGGCGTATCGTCACCAGTATCATCTCGACGTCCGTCTTTCGACACCTGAGATTTTTAAGGCAGTTTTTGCCACGCACTACCACGATGTGGAACCACTTGCCCACAAAAGTATTACCGAATCAATTCGAATAGGCTCCTCTAAAAAAAGAGCGTACCAATTTTTAAAAGGCTGGCAACGAACTTACGAGCCCTCTGGCAATGTAAGTGTCTATGGGCGGCGGTATCACTTAACAACAGGTGAGCCTCATGCTGTTATATAAAAATAACTTTCTTGACTGATACAAGACTAGGTTTGAGGCATAAAATTATTCTTAAGATACTAAAAAAATAAAAAAGTATTGGCGGACAATCGGGGTTCAAACGGGTCCTGATAAATACTGTGTCCTGTGTTACATTTTTGAGCAAAAAAATATTTCGCTTTATACTAACTGGCCGGTACTGAGTACAGAAATGTTCGGTTATGTTACGTAACGTTTACGTCAGGTTAATTGTACTGGTGATAAATTAGTATTTAATACGAACGTATACATGCTCATGTTTACGTCATAATAAATCGTAGTTATGAGCCAGGAAATACGATTAAATGGTGTATTTGCATTTAAAGTAATTAATCGATCTTGACTCCACAAAAATAACCTACTTAAGTAAGTGTGTACTAATAATAATTTAATTATTTCACATACATTTAAATACATTTATATTTCTATCATCACATTATTATACATCTCCGTGCTCTTTTAGGCCTAGGTCTCCTCCAAATCAAGTCATTTCTGTCTGTACTGTGCCACTCTCTGCCATGTACCATCTGCCGTTCCTTAATCTGGTCTGTCCACCTTCTAAATTGTCTTCCTCTTTTGCGTTTATTGTACCTTAGGCATCAGTTGTTGGTCCACTTTTTTGTTCCCTTTGATTTTCATTAGTGTGTACAAATTTCATATTATTTTGAAATTGGAATACAGATATTATATAAGCCGTACTGAATTTAAGAGGAAAGGCAGACAATGTCTCAGATGATGTAATAACGGAGAACAGATTATCTCTGAAGACTTATAATAGACAGGAGTGGAATCTCTGGGGAAGGTCTATGCGGTAACCCAGACAAATTATTAACTTAATAATCTTATCAAATTATTAACTTAATAATCTTATCAAATTATTAACTTAATAATCTTATCAAATTATTAACTTAACGCAATATGTACATAAAATATTGTACATATTGTTGGCAACTAATATTTAAATTTTATATAGCTTATTTTCACATAATTCAAAACACGATGTACATTACTAACCTACTCTAAATATTTTCACTAAGTGAATGTAATTCTTTGAGAAATAAAGTATCTTTGAACCGAACTTATTTTTAAAGCAATGAAACCGAACTTTAAACGTCATTTAAACATCCAACAAAGATTTGAAAGCTTAGACAGTCGTAATAGTGAGTATTACATTACGCAGAACCCAAAACGAGTAAAATTGGATAAAGCTCATTTGGCTTAATGTTTTATCAGATCCAGTATATAAACGCCAGATGGCAGATCGTTAAATAAACAGAAGTATGAGTGCAGTGAGGCGTGAAGTTTACCCGGGCATTCGGGGACCGGCTAACTTTTGGGAAGTTATGAAATTGCCCGAAATACCCCGGGAACTCGGCACTCGCTTAAATTTCGGTTGCACGACATTCTTCGAGTGTTTAAATATTAATTAGCTCAGCCCTAATGGGGTCTCGAATAGTCGAAGATATTTGGATATTGTTCGCTATGGGTTTGGTATGTTGTAATTAGGACAGCTGATTATAATTGTCATTCAGGTAAATTAGACGGGAAACATAATAATAGACACATTAATAAAACATAGTCCTCTGCGGCGTCTGTATTCGAAATAATCTTAAAAACGCTTTAAATTCGGTAATTTAAATACATATTTTAGTACATAAAAATGTGAAGTACTAATAAATTAACATTAAAAATAAAAACTAACACTAATAATTAATCATCAAACCAGTTAATTTCTGCTTTTTCAGCTTGTCCTTGGACATAGGCCTCCTCAAAGACCTTCCACTCTTCTCCGTGTCTAGCTTTACATAGCCACATAGGGCCAGCTGCTCTTTTCACATCATCTTCCCATCTTTTTATTTGTCTTCCTCATTTTATTTTGTCATAGCGAAGATACCGATAGATAGAGTGATTAAAAAACATAAATATTTTTAAGGACCACTGCCGAAGTAGACTTCTTCTTATAGTGCCATCTCCTTGCGAAGGTTGGCGATCATCATGGCTGGTTTAAATTTGAATGCCGCGCTTCTAAACAATGACTTGGTGCTTTGACCAAACCATGGTATAAGATTTTTCAACCAAGACGTGCGTCTGCGACCAGGTCTCCACTTGCCACTTTGCCTTGTATGAATTGTATGAGTTGATGGAGCTCGTATATTTTAATGTTACGTAAAACATGTCCGAAATACTCAAGCTTCCTTTTCTTAACCGTCGTATGCGGTCTGTCCAAAATATTTTAAGCAGAAGCTGATGTAGACACGGGGAGAAATTGGTTACGCCAAAAGTTAATCTGGAATTACATAGATAAAACACTTTTTGTATGGCAACCGAGGTTTATAATAATTGATCAAAACATTTAAAGGACTTCCTACTAGAGATTTTTAAAATTGGTTTAATATACTACTTTTGGAAAAAATGAGAGTAAGTGAAACATTATAATTAATATTAATTTGATGATAAGATTGATAAGACATATTTGCACGCCATTATGTGTGGCGAAATATGCGAACTTTAGATTGTATAATATATAATATATATTCTATAATATTCCTTGCAAATAAATTATTAATATTCACGACGATTTTAGCTACATAATTTGTCAAGATACTATGTTGGTTGGAAAATAACAATAATTGTTGGAAGTATTGAAAAGAGTCATAATATAGTCTAGTGCGAACCGGTGCTGGGTGTCGCTAGATAGTTAAGTAATATATATATATTGAGTATGCTATGGTGTCTTGAATGCAAATTCAATATTTCAACTGAGATTATATATAATAATTATTATAGTCAATAGTCATTCATAATAACTATTATTATCATGAAGAAATATTACTAAATACTCGTAGTAAATTGAACTCTAATTAGTAAGTGCGTAAAGTTTTATTTTTGTGATTTGAAATAAAATTTAGCGTTAACCCACCAGGACCTTAAGTTAATACATTAGCACGTCTCACACCCTTAGTGCCAAACAAAGGTTGTTACGAACACATCTTTAATACAATTCATCGTCTAAAACAGTTTAAATAAATTAAAATAATTCGACTGTCGATTCAATTTCAGCCAACAATTTAAAGCGTTGTGGCAATTGAACGTGATCATATTGACCACTTTTCCGAATGAATATATTGTGCATTTCATCTCGAAATGTATGTATGTGACCACGCCGGACTGGTTGCGGCGTCGCGATGTTTCAATGAATTAGAATATTGAATGGTATCGTTGTAATCAAATTTTGGGTACTATAAATCGTTAAGATATTTTTACCGATAATTATACTGATTAAATTGTTACTGAATAAGTAGGTAAAGTTTTTTCTTTTGCGTATAAAATTTGCAATAATTGATTTACTTCGAAAGGTATTAGAACTTTTTAAGCTTTTATTTGTTTGGACGTGTACTAAGTTCTATAAACAGGATTCGAAGTTACATCTGTTTCATTGATATAAGAAACGCTAATTAAAAAACACATTTATTCTACTACTACGTAGAATATTTTATATGAAACACAAATAAATATATATATTATTATTATTTTATATATTTAGGGTCCTTCAAGAAAAGAGCG